TCTTTGGAGCGTAGTAATCCTCTTCGTTGTCTGTGGCAGTTTGTTTTTCCATGGCTTATTTAATTGTTTGATCCTGCTGCTTCCCAGGCGTGGCCTTCTTCAAGTTGCAATATTCTTGCAGAACATCAAATCTTATTTCCCATGACTGGTGATCCTGCTTGTAATTTGTAAGGGTTTAAACGAGCCAAATTAATAGATTTGCATAATCAATCTTACTTTATTTGTAAATATTATCTTAATGATTAATGCTTAGTTCATGGTGATGAAATTTATTATGATTTCTACATGTCCATATTCTTTTATATTGATCTTATTAGTTAGCTTCATTAAATATTAGAAATTAACATTCATGACTTCATGTAGTTGACCCTAACTTATCGACAATAGGGCTTATTTTATTGTCTTGGTATCATAATCATTGTTATCTAACACAAGTCCTGCGATGCCATGGAAAATGTATCATTGAAAGAGAATCCAATAATAGATGTTGCTGAGCAATTCAACCCTTATAAGTAGTATGATACAATGAAGTTTTCTCCTTGAATATTTTCAACTACTCCTAAATAAAAAGTATTGTAGTGTAGATTCGGTTATCAAGCAGACTCAGTATCATGTTCATCTTCATATTCCGGGTCAAGCCTCCACTCACTTCCATAATAAGAATTAGGCAATCCCAACCAAAACTTGAAAGCCTCCGCTGCTCTCTTCCTTTCCCTTCTTCTGTCCTGTCTAGCTCTTGAGGCGTGCTTGCTTGTAAACATCCTCGAATGCATTTCCACATAGATTCTCTTGTACTTGGTCTTATTTGGAGGTATTCCGTGCTCTTCCATGCAAGCAACAATCTCCAAAGCTTTCCTAAAGAAAGCTGCCCTTACACAAATATCAGCTAGAGTATCCAAGAGTCCTTCATCGGGTATCAAAGGTGGGGGCACTGAAGAAGAATTAGACTCTTCTCCTTCCTTTTCCATTCCACACCTCTCCTTTATTTCATTCCAGAGAAGAAGGGCTTCTCCAGGCTTTCTAGCCAATGCAATCCCGTTGGCAAGACTTCCATACGTGGCCACATTTGGATAGAAGCTGGTATCTTTCATCCTCTGGATTATACTTTTAGCTTCATCAATCAGTCCCAGTTTACAATATCCTTCCACCAACATGTTCCATGCAACTAAATCAACTTTCACTCGAGGATCATTAAGCATTTCATCGAAGACCTTGTTAGCTAGCTTTGGTTGACCAGACAAGGCAAAAGCTTTCATCAAGGTGGTGTAACTGATTTTCGTAGGCACAATACCTCTTTTCCGCATCTCATTGAAGTAGGCAAGGGCCCCAGCACTGTCATCGACCAGTATACATCCATCTATCAATGTGTTATAAGAAACCACATCAGGTTCTATCCCTGCATCACAAATCATCTGTCGGATCAACTCCTCTGCCTTATCAATCTGCAACTGCTGACAGTACCCTTTCAGGAGAATATTATAGGTAATTAAATTAGCAGGCACGCGAATTCTGGCCATCTCAGCTAGCACTTGTCTTGCTTTATCCATCGACCCAGCCTTCACGAATGCAGAAATAACTGTCGTGTAAGTAACATGGTCCGGATGGCCAGTTCTATCTTCTTGATGCCTCATGGCTTCAAGCATCCTTACCATGTCAGTAACACGTCCCACTTTCATATAACCTTTCATTAAGGTTGTGTAAATTCTAGAGTCGGGTGCAAACACTTTAGGTAACTCTGGAGTTTCACTATTACTAGGATCAACCGAATTGGGAAGTAATTTCTCAAACGCATCAATCTCATTTCCCAATTTCCCGGATCCACCATCTTCATACTGATCTTCAAAATTCGACTCTCTTAGAATCCTGCAAATGTCTTTCTTCCCTTCACTCATTGCCTGAATCATTTGCTCCGCAGTCTCCAAATCACCAAAACCAACATACGCTGCAACAAGAGAATGCAATGTTGTCATACATAGAGGTATCCCCTTTTCTATTATCCTCTCCAAGACAAAAACGAGCAAATCTTTTCTTTCGACTCTAGCACAGATCTTGATCATGACATTATATGTCAAAGAATCTGGTTCACATCCAAACTCTGGCATTTCGTCAAACAGTTGCAGAAATTTCTTGGTGTCGCCAAGATTGGCACAAGCATTGAGCACGGCATTATAAGCACCTGTGTCTGGCCTCGAGTCCTTAACCATCTCGGAATCGGCAAATTTGCGGACCCTTCTGGTCACCGAATTGAATAGTTTTATGGCTTCAACGGGGCCATCATCGCCAGAACCGGCAAGGCGGCTTATTACAGCACTCCATGACTTAACATGGGGTAGATACCCTGACTTAAGCATGGACTTGATGATGGAGGTGGCGTAGAGGGTATGCCCGCCTTTGGCGGCAGCCACCGCGAGGAGGCCGAGGGAATTAGCATCCAGGCGGTGGAGCTGCCCCTCCTGGCGGAGACGTTGGATGATGGACTGAGCCCTGGTGAGTCCCTCGTTGGTATTTTGATAGGATAATTGTGAGACCAAACGGCTAAGGCAGGTGGGACCCGGGAGGTCTGCATATTGTGTGTACACTAGCCAGGCCTCCTCAGTTTTCCTTTGTTGAAGAAGATTGAGGAGTATTTGCTCTTGGGAATTGGATAACTTTTTCTTGCTGGTGGTTGTGGTAAGAGAGGTGTTGGAGGGGTTGGTTTGAACCCGAAATAAAGGAGGTTTAGAGGAGGTGGTGGTGATGGAAGCGAAAAGGGTGGTGGTGGAAGGTGGCGGTGAAATCCAATAGAGATTAAGACTGTGAGTTAATGGAAATAGGGTAGAGGTAGATGGTGATAATGATGCAGGTGGTGGTGGTTTAGTGTTCATGGCTTGTCCATTTGGGTTAAGGGAAATGGCTGAAAATATGGTTTTGTTCAAATTTTGGACAGCGAGGGGTTTGGGGAAGTGATAAGAGATATTTTCAGAGGAAGTGGTGTTTTGATTTGGGTGGAGAGGGAAAGTACTACGTCGGCCGTATATTCTGCTCTCTTGTTTGGCATCAATGATTGGGTGGTCGCTGCACTTTTGCTTTGTTGGAGTTTGTATTATTCTCTATTTTCCTCGTCTTCCTTTTCCACTTGAGAGCCGCTACATGTACATGGATTTAAACATAAAATGTTCTTTTCGTTGCTTGAAAACCATTAAAAATAATTTTTC